GGCAGGAGGGGAGGCTCTAGACCAGGGATGGGCAATAATTTTTGATGGGGGGGCCACTCCAAGATTTTGGAAAGTGGTCGAGGGCTGCATTCTTACATGGTATTAATGGAGATGCAGGGTCTGTGATGGAGGTTGGGTGCAGAAGGGAGCTTAGAGTAAGGGACTGGGGTGCAGGAGGGAGACTGGAGTCTGGGAGGGAGCTGGGATGAAGCAGGCGGTTGTGACCTAGGGCAGGGGACTAGAGTGCAGGCGTTTGGAATGTGACCTAGGATAGGAGGGGCAGGAGATTGGGGTGCCAGATCTGGGAGGAGGGATGGGTGCAAGAGCGGGACAGAGGGTTTGGGAATGTGCAGTTGGGGGGGAGGGGGAACAGAGAGTTGGGGCAGGAAAGGGCTGGGTGCCAGAAGCAGGCTGTGGCCAAGAGACTTACTTGCCAGCTGCCAAACTAGCCTGCCTGTCAGCAGAGCTTAAAATGTTTTCCAGCCAGCCTGCCTGGCAATGTGCTTCCTGAATAACTGAGTCTAGGAGAGGGGGGTGTGATTCTTTTTAGCTACCTATTATTCTAACAAGCAGCTCCCATTAGCTGGTTTGTGCCAGAAACCGGCCAATGGAAATATGATGGGGGCAGGTCAGCTCCTAAAACTTTCCTCCTCCCCTCCAGTTTCAAAACTGAAACGGAACCCTGAAGCTGTGTTTCTGCCAGGCACACGGGGCTGTAGGGCAAGCTGGGCAGCCTACCTGGGGCTCCCCACTGCCTCCACAGGCCAGATCCGGTGGCTTGGCGGACTGGATCCAGCCTATGGGCTGTATTTTGCCTGCGCTAGGCGATGTACTTGAGCCCCAGCCCCCAGAGCAGTTGCAGCCCGGCAGCCAACAGTTCGTGGTCCAGCACCAGTCCACAGACTGGCGATTTGAAACCATTGCATTAACTGCTTCATTAGGATTTTACATCCCTGTTTCCGACCACCAACCTCCAATTCTTTGCTTCTATCCCAGTCTCCACCCCTTCCTAAAGCTCTTCACCCTATCTTGCCTTACACGATGTGTCAGCAAAGGCTTTCCTTGTTGACCGATCTCCATCTTGACTGCCGGTGTGTGCCGACAAACAGCTGAAGCGGCAAAACGCGGTGGCCATTTTTATTCTAATGAAGCAAGGGATATTTAAATCCCCGCTTCATTGACTATGTCGGTATGTCTAATTTACATGCCTTTTTCGGCAGAGGCATATAGTCTAGACATACCCAAATAGTTTGTTTACCTGAACACCTGCAGGCAGAGCCCCACAGCTCCCATTGGCTTGGAATGGTGAACTGCAGCGAACAGGAGCTACAAGCAGTTGTACCTGCTAACGATAATGTAAATAGTCTGGTGACCCACCAGGGTGAATGCTGGTAAATCACATCCCACAGGCCGCTTATTGCCTACCCCTCTGGTACAGTGTACATTTGACAGGCTAATAAATTTGTTGGCAGCACCATCTTACCATTTATATGCCATCATTGTCCAAATTACTATGGTCTGGTGCACCCAGCACATCTACCAGGCCAAAGGAAAGTTTTTTTCCATGGGATCTGGACACTGCTAGTTTGCAGGCCTAGTACAGGCAACCAGAAGGTGAACCAATGAACTTGAGACTGATTGCAGTTGGGGTGGGATTTTGCCTGTTTTCATCACTTTATTTTCTCCTTTTATTATAGGGATATAAACTGTCTATTTGATATAGGGGTAGAGGTGATTTAAACTTTAGTGTAAGTTTAGATTATATGATTGGTGGGATGTGAAGCACCTACATGATTGTGAGATTTTGCACTTTATCAAAAGCTTAGTACAAAACTTCCTGGATTTTCCTTACTTTGAAAGCAGCCACAATGCCACATTTTCTAAAAATAAACAAGTTATTAAACAAATTCAAGTGGAAAAAAAGCCATCTACCCCTCTATAAAATAACTATTACATGTTACTTTATGACATGTAATAAATAGTCCACATATTGTGCAATGCAAGTACATAGTGTTTG